GATTATTTAATTAAAGGTATTTCTCTAGAGTGTGCAAGGGTTTAGGCTTCCTGAGAAGCAAGTTTCACTTTAAGTTACAGTGATAATTTGTCACCATCTGCTATGCATGTTTAAACACCTTCCAAGTGGGGTGGAGGTGGGGAGACACTAGAATCACCTGCATGCCACTGAGGAAGAGCTGCTGAACCCCTTGTCTCCTCTGCAATGGGCCCTAGAAGGTCACGTCTCCTTCAGTGAGCATCACTACCTGAGGAAGTTGGGGAGCCAGGCTGCCCATCCCTGCCTAGAAACCTGTCCTGTTTCCTTCATTGTCTTGATTGGCTTTGGAAGTTGTAGTGCCCTTTTCTAGGTTAATTTGAGCATCTCCAGTGAAAACAAAATACATATTAATGGAACTGTACTATGTGGTCCATACGCATGAATGTTCAAAACCAGCAGGCAGTGCAAACACTACATAAAGCTGAGACTGTTCAGAAGGGGCATCAGGACTCTAGACGGTAGATCCCATCTTGGAAAGTGGTCTCAGCGGATGAGATGTGGTGTGATGAATGTCCCCACTGCCAGCACCTTGAGGTGAAGGACAGATGTGGAGGTCCTCAACATGGAGCTGGAGGTGGGGGGGGCAGGTTGTGTTTAGGGAGCAGGGAGCAGTGGAAAAAACAGCTGGGGTGGCCAGCAGTGCCAGTTCACAGGAACTTTTGATGATTAGTCAAGTGACTTTAAAGGTTTAAATGTTCCGTATTAGATATAGAGTAATTGGAAACTTTGAACAAGGTGGATAGGCAATCTAAAAGTAAATTAGGAAGCATCCAAGTTAATTTTGTGTAGAGAGAATATGGGGGCCAAGAGGAGTTTTCTCTGTGCAAGTATTTTATCAGTATAAATATATACATTCTAATCACACACACACACACACATTGTGATATACATTTTGACCCCAGTTGTTGAATATCAGAATTAGTATAGCATCAGCAAGTTGAGATAAATACAGAAGTGTTTGCAAAGAGAGAAGAAATTTACCAACAGGATTCATTTCATAAAGAGAGGAAAAGAAAGATTAAACTGAACTTTATTGTGAACTTTGTCTTGAGCTTAAAAAACTGTAAAGCCTGTAACTTAAGAATCTAGGAAAACAGAAGTTATATTCCTGCTCTATATTGAAAAATCAGAAGGAGGAGCCAGGATGTGCTAGAGAAGGTTTAACCTGGCTTCATTCATCAGGCAATGAGGTGGCCCTGCGCCCAGAGGAGTTGGAACTGCAAACCAAAGAGGAGCAGCCAGGACAGAGCAACCTCCCTGTGACTCAGAGGGGAGATTCTGTGAGACCTGGGATGCAGATGTCCTGAGGGAGAAGGTGTAGGGGGATAAGGCAAGAGCCAGAGACAAAGCAGACAGAACAGAGGGAGAAGTGATAGCTGTGAATGTCATTCTTGGAAATGGGAGACATTTCTGGAAGGAGAGAGTGAATTAATTTCATGAACTGTAGAATGGGGCATTCAGATCAGGGTTTCCATGCAAGCATTGTGCAGGTGTGTGTGGACACATGACTTTGTGTGTGTGTGTATGTGTGTGTAGGGGAGGTGCAAGGCAACGTTGTTGAAAGCACTTGGTAGCTGCTAGAATTTTCTCAGAGCTTTCCATGATGCTTTGACTCATCTTAGCTATCAGTAACTCATCGATTTCCCCACTACTCTGTATAGGGGATGTATCATTTTTGCGATTTTTGTATAGTATATAAGCAATGAGGTCAATGAAAAAATATATTCTGAAATAATTTTGAATTCTGGTGGGTTGGAAAAGAAATTAAGTATCCAGGGCCCTCCATACTCCTGATTTGTCACCTATGCAACAAAATTAGCAGGTGTTAATTATTTCAGCTTCTCTCCTGCCCAGCTTTATCTGGCTTCCCCAGAACATGGGGAAATTCTCTGGTTAAGTGTGTGGCAGCCTGTACTGCTTCTTTATAATGCGTAAGTTTTCAGGTTGAATGTCGGTCTCCCCTGAGAAGACATGACCTTATTAACTATGGAAACCTCCACATTTCTCAATCACCCACTCCATAGCTAACGTAGTGCTTTGCATTTCTCCTTGAGAGATGTTTGTTGGAGAATCAAAGGACATATGAGCTCTTTATATCTTATTATCAGTAACTAAAATATTGACCTACCAAAACCTGTTGATTGTCCCAAATATTCTTCTCCCACCAGTAATTCCACTGGTGCTATGAGAGGCTTTATCACAACTGCATCTTCATAAATGAATGCATCATATGAAACTTTGTTGTTTAATGTCTGTGGTCCTGGGAAGATCCTTAAGGACAATTTAGATATTGGTCAACACTTTCTATCCAGTCCCTGGCACACAGAAATCACATTGGTTGCTGAAAATGAAAAAAATGATTATATTCATTCTTTGGAATTAAATGAAACTTAAAGAAATTTAAAAAATATATAAGGTCATGCAATCCAAAGCCTGTATATTGCCTTTTATTTCCCCTTCCAAAGCAGAAGCACAAAATGATCACTTTTTATTTGCCAAAAAAGAGGTGTTCAGCACTCTTTAAGGGAGGGAATTGAATATGGAGGTGAGACATTGACTAATGGTGCAGGCAGGAGTGGGGAAGGCAGGTGCCTAAGACTGCGTGTGAATGGTGCACGCTGGTCTTGTTCGTGTGTGTGGTGAGGGAATGACTGAGGGAAGTTGGTAGAGGTTGAGAAGTCCAAAGCTGGTCGTGGAAGCATAGCTGACACAGAAGTGGCATGACGATGGTCTTCCCACCCACTGTGAGCCGCACATTTTTTTTCCTTCTGGCAGAACTGACCTCAGGGTATCACTGCTCAGTAACTTTGTGATTAGATAATGTCACTTGAAGCTTGTTGTTCAATGAGTTTCATTTTTAAGTCAAGAGGATGAACAAAGGCATTTTGAGAAGCCTCTGTTTATTTGCTATGTAGTCAGCCTTCCTGGGCCTCAGGTTTCTCAATCAGTAAATTGGGGGCATTTATAGCTAATTCTTCAACTCTAAACAGTGTTTTTAGCATTGGGGACAATTTAACTGCAGCCACAATGAGGCTGGAATAGAACAAGCATCCAGAAACTAATGACTAACATAAAATTGGTGATAAAAGTATAGAAGTCAATTTCTGCTTTTATGACTCCTTTTCCTCCTCTTTATCAAATATCTTGAAATATATTTGAAAAGTCCACACCATAAATTTTGTGCTTCCCAGTCCCAGATTCTAATCTGCAAAGTACCCTGTGAAAGGACTGGCCACTCACATACATAAATACACACACACACCACTCACTCACACATGCAAATACATGTAGTGCAGATTACTAAAACAGGGAAGAGTAGATGAATGCTTTTTAACTTTGAAAAATATTATGAAAGGTTGCAAAAAAGTTCTTAAAAGATGATTATGATCTTTAAAATGGATCAAGATAAATCAGAAATTTTTCACTGAAAATATAAGTATCATAGATCTGATGATAAATTTTAAAATTAGAAAGAAAGAAAGATAGAAAGAAGAGTAGGAGTAAGGTAGGGAAAGAGGAAAAAAGGAGGGAGAGGGGTTTGGAGAGGCTGGGACACAGGAGACCCAAGGTCCTAAACTGAAAATTAAGCCCCAGAAACAGTCATGTCATCTGTCACTTGCTTTCTCCCTCAGCGGGGCGCTTTTGCTCCAATAGCCACCGAACAGACTAACCCTAAACCTGGTAAAATATGCAAGAGAGCGAGACCTGTGCTTCTGTGATTTGTTCTTTACCCCCAGGATCTGATCAAGGCAAATCAAGCCCCTTTGAGGGTCTGTTTCCATAAGATCCCTTCAACACCTGCCAACTGTTAACAAACAGGAGGTGCATTGGTGTGCCCAAAGGTCACACGCTTGTGAGCTGTGCCCGCCGTATTTCATGAGTTAGGTCGCTTTGGTTACTTATATTCCACATGAGCGAAACCACCAGGTCTTTCACTTTCTGGCTATTTCTCATGGAATAATCACCATGGAAGGGAGAGAGGCTGAAGGGGCTGCTGTGACTGTGGAAAGGCACTGGATGTCGGTGGTGGAGGGGATTTGGCAAACACACCTGAGTGTGAAGCTGTAGTCCGGAAATGTATACGTTACTGTAAACCAATGATAAATCAGTAAATCTTATTTACGAAAAACTCACGGCTTATCTGACACATTGAAAATAGTAAGAACATGTACAAGTGTCTTCTTAGCTCTTCTGTGCATTTTTTTTTAATTGGATTGTTTACTTTGTTTTTGTTGCATCCTGTAGGGTGGATGGGTGGTGGGAATGTTAAGGGGACTACACCTGACAGGAGAAATCATTGTACAAAAATGAACAGTGATGTAAAAGACAGAAAGAAATATTAAAAATAAGAAGGGCCTCCCTGGAGGCGCAGGGGTCAAAGTCAGTGCTATCAAGCTATTGGCAGTCACTGCAGCACCTGTTCCATCCCCAGCCATGGAGCTGACCCACATGGGGCAGCAGACCTCTCCTGTCTCACCCGCTGCTCCCCTCAGCAGTGTATTTCATCAGTCTGCCTGTTCTGTTCCCTGCTCTATCTCTGGTGAATCCTCTCACCCCCGCACCTCTGACCTGTACCCCAGTTCTTGTATTCATAGATAAAAATAAAACTTAAATTAAAAAAAGCCAGTCGGTTGAGTGCAGCGCTGTGAGGCTGTCCGCAGCCTCTGCATTGCAATATGATCCCTGCAGGCCAAGGAGATACCCACATGGCGCGGCAGACCTCTCCTGACTTGCCTGCTGCTCCCTTCAGCAGTGTATTTTGTCAGTCGGCCTGCTCTGCTCCCTGCTCTGTCTCTGGTGAATCCTCTCACCCTCCTGCACATCTGGCCTGTACCCTGGTTCTTATATAAATAAATAAATCTAAAAAAAAAAAGGTTGCAGGAAATCAAAATGGAATTCAAAAGCCGCACCATCCCTGCAGGCTTGGCTCCTCTAATACTTTGCTTTCCCCTTGTTCACAGAACCCAAAGTCAGCTGCAAGCTGGGCCGCTCCGCATCCACATCAGGTGTGCCCCCTCCGTCTGCCCCTCCGCTCAGGCCAGCCAGCGACCTGCCACCGAGCCAGGTACCGCCTAGCCAGTCGTGATTGACGTCCTGTGAGCAGCATGCGAGCGCCCCTGTCTGTCGTGTGTCACTGTGGACACGTTTGCATTGGCTTTTATTTCTGTGTGTATGGGGCGGGCAATGAGTCCGCAGTCTGTGTCCTCATCCGAAAAGGCAAGTGTTTCTTCGCTGTGATGGGTGCAACTTTCTTTGCTGTTTGTTACCAGATCGTTGTGTCTCTGATTTCCATCATTCTGTAATATCAATGTAGTAACCCTGTACTCTCTGTATCGGCGCAGTGGTTATTTTGAACAATTCTCTCTCTCCTCCATGTTCTGTGTACTTTTATACTGTCATGAAAATTTATCAACCTTTGATAAATTTATCGACTTTGTGTTATGTAGATTTCTTTTTCAATGTTTTGTCGACAACCCTTGCACAGATGTCGCCAACGAATTTGTACCTATCTTTCAGCTCTATCCTGTTATACTGTAATATTTGTGGCCGCTTTACTTTTGTTTTTATTTCGCTCGAAGCATGATTGTAAGACACTGAATATTGATGTCCTTATAAATATTCATTTGCCAACTCACTTGCATTGAACACGGGCAGCTAGTCTCCTTTCTTAGGCCACGATGAAGTCAGTTGACTAGCCATGATCTAGAAATTTACCAAAACTGTAGATTCACGAGGCGATTTTTAATAAATGGTTTTTCTCTGGTATACCAACAATATCAGAAATGTTCTCAGAAAGGGATTGTAAGTATTCATGCATGGTAAATGAGATCTCTATTATTACTTGGAGAAAAGAGACAAGAAATAAAAATACAAGTTAAAATATCATTTAATCCTTTATAGTGCAATACGTTGCTCTGATGTTCATTTGGGTGCTTGGCTGTGTGTGTGTTGGGGGGAATCACAGCACATGAATGTTCTCTCACTCACCCAATAGCAGTTCAATGCATTGACTTAATTTGTGAAGCTGAAGAATTGTTACTGTTAAGTGTTACGGGTGTTAAGTCGGATAATGTCAGCCCTGAGTATCTTCACTCTGCTTCTTGGTTTTAATATTTGCTTACATGAAACTTCCAGAATTATAAATGATAAAATTAGTGGTCTACCTCCATGGGAAAAGCTCATTACTGATTAGCAAATTATATGTCCATCAATTATTTAAAATGCCAAGCTCTTTTAAAGTCATAACTAAGAATAATTGATTTTTTTCTAATGGGAGACATGAGTCTTTTTAGTGTTTTGCTTTAGCTTAAATATGCACAGGATCTGACTTACAAATATATGAGGGATTGACAAACACGAGAGATGAGAGATTTCTCTCAAGGGTATCTCAGTTATCGTTTAGAATTTGTGTCTTGATTTAAAATGTGAAATGCCTTCATAACTAAATGGCTCTGGCTTAAGCACTTGTGTATAAAAGAGGTAGACACAGTAAAACGATGGATTCATAAATAAATAGTTAATTTACTAAGATCAACTATCAATAATTGATAAAGCTATTCCAAAATGATTACGTTTACCAATATTTAAAATTTAAAAACTTGGAAAATTGTGGGAAATTTTAGCTCACTGGCAGAGGAATGCACATAGTTTCTTGCCCAAGTGTAGGCACCTGGCTAGCACCTTGGCGCCACAGGGACGTTATTGTGTTCCTGGTTCTGTTTGGCTTTTCGCTGATTCGCTTTCCAGCTTTTCTTCCCAAACCCCTTTGGCCCTCACTGAAAGCAGTTTTGAGGGGTAAACTTCCAAACAGAAATGAGCTACTGGCTTTGTACCTCTGCCTTATCAACTCTTCTCTTATTGGATGGAATGTCTTCATTCTTCAAAATACAGAGACGTGAGAAAGATCCCCATGTCGTGTATGTTCTGTTCACTTCCTCACTGACCGCAGAAATCCTGGCACACGCTCACAATGAAGATTGGCATTCTGGCCTCTGGCCTCACCTCTGGCTGGGACCTGTTGAGTAGCCGATTCCTATGACCGGGAGCTAATAGGGTCAGCATGGTTCAGAGACATCTGGCTCTGCCTTCCCACAACCCGGCACTGAACTGGCACATGGGCAACTTCCCACCCAGCGCTGGTGCTCTGGACCGGGCACTCTTACTAACTTCCCCTTTGCTCAGTAGTCCCCAGCAGTGGTGGAAGACATTAAACACGCTGAATTGTACAGTGGATCTCATTGCATGGAGGATGTGGAGCACTGCCTGTCAAACAGTCACTTCTGTTTAGCAATTTTCCCAACACCAGTAATTATTACCCCGATTCCAGGTAGCTTCGAAAACTCAGAATGCTTAATAGCAAGTAAACAGACTTCATGGTAGAACTCATTGGGAAACTAGGTGATCTAGTTAAAACAAGCAAGGACCATCAGCCCCTTGAAAATAATTCCAGGGGGGCTTCTCTACTGAGTAATCTGGCTTTAGAAAGGCTTTTCAATCCTGCTCACAGGAAGAAGCTGTGTTTTTTTGTTTTGTTTTGTTTTGTTTTCCCAGACTGTTCATATCTTGTCTCTGTCCAGTTTCCTCAGCTCTAGTTTTTCACTCCCTACTCCCTGTCATGGTTGGAGCTGGCTAAGAGGGTTGGAGGAAGAGCAGGCAGAGGGGCTGCACCCAGCTGCAGCAGAAATGCACAGAGGGGACCCCAAGTAACTGACTGAGCCTGACTGCAGAAGCCCAGGAAAGGAGCCCTTGGCCAGCCCAGGGCATCTAGAATAGTTCCTGACCCACCTCCAGAGCCCAGGCCGCTGGCACTGCTGCCCAGCGCGTGTGCATAATGAAGGTGGTGGTCACCTCTGCTTGATTCTGGAATGTGTTTTGGCTTCTGGTAACCACAGCAGACTCAAAATTTGTGGAAATGTGTAGTATCATCTGACTGGAACTTCCAAATATGTACGTGACTACGAGAAGTCAGGAAAGCAGGATAAACGCAAAAAGCATTTAGAGTTTCTCTGTAACACATACTCCTCTGAAATTCAGAAAGATGAAAACCAGATTGCTTTTCTTTTCTTTTTTTTAACTCATTCCTGAATAAATAGACTAGACATGGCACAATTAGGGGAGAGTGACATTTCTTTGGAATTTTATTGCACTGCAGACACATATTTTGGCACTTGTCATCATGCACACCTTTGGAAATGCTGCTGATTTCAGGGCCTGCCGTGAGAGCTGTTCTTTTTGGAATGTTCCGAGTTCCCAAGGTGAACCTGGATGTAGTCCGACCTTGAACTTGGAGCTCAGGGCACATCCTTTTTCTTCTGTGGTGACAGGAAACTCTGTTCAGAAGGAAGAGGTTTGGGTGCTTTTGTAGATGCAGGTGTAGTCCCTGGGATTCCCCATTCCTGGCTGAGAGCAGGTCACCTCTTCAGTGACCCAGCTGTGGGGGCTGCCACCCCCTCTCTGCAGCAGCTGATGGAGGAGCTGCCTGGAAAGGCCCCCTTCCCAAAGAGGGGAGCAGCCAGGGTGCCGCAAAATTGAAGTATGGCTAGGGGTGGGAAATTGTTCCCCAAAATGTCTTTGTTTTGGGGGAATGGAGAGGAGAGTCACCCTGTACTACACATACACACACGTACGTACACTCTTACCATTCTTGCAGCACACTTAGGCACACACTCAAAATACATAGGCACAAGTCACAGACACTCACACAATGAACATACATGTGCACCCAAATGTACACCCTCATCACACACGCACCCTCACACAACCTTGTTAATAAGTTTGTGCACATCCACACCTGTTTGTGCAAACTCATCCACACTCACACATTCACACTTACACTCATGCATACACTCATAACACACTTAAGCACACAGCCACAAACTGACACGCAACATATACTTACACATGCACACTCACACGAATCCTTACACACCCTCACACATCCCTTGCACTTTTGTACATGCCCACTCACCCTCACAGCACATTTATGCCCATACTCACACCCACCAGTCACACTCAGCACACACTTGTGTACACTCACACATGCTTGCTCACAAGTGTACACGTCTGAGCACAAGTGTACACACACTTCACGGTCCCCACGAAGAGTCCGGGCGCGGGACCATGTGTGGAGCTGAAAGCTCATGGTCCCTGCAGGCTGGTGTGTCATTCCAAGCCCAGTTCTCCCTCATTACCCTGGTTTCGGGGAGCGGGTAGGAGAGGGCGCCTGTGATTTCCTTGGCCACCTGCTCAGGATCTGCCCAACCTGCATCCCGGCTGGTGCGTGGAGAGGCTGAGGGCTGCGGGCCTCCCCTGGATGCCCTCCGCGTGCTCACCAGCCCTTAACCAAACCAGCCCGGGCCTTCCCATTGCTTTTCAGGGTTATTTTTCAAATGTTTCTCTTTTGCTGGCAGCTCTCTGAACTCTCCAAGCTCCTAACACCCCCGTTCAGGTTTAGCGCCCTTCTGGCCTTGGGGAGCGCCTGCCCCACGGCCCGCAGAGCTGAATAATGCTGCCTGGGTGCCTTCATAGCTCCGTCTGCATCACGCCAGCTCTCCTGGGCAGTGAGAGAGTGAGGGTGTCCGAGCTTGGTGCATGCCAGAGTGTGTTTCAGATGTGTCTGGAACTCAAAATGTTTTTCCTAGCTACTTTAAAAAAATCGAAACAAACAAACAAAACCAAGCAAGGTAAGGTAAACCACTTAAAGATAGTGATCAGGGCTGAGAGACAGATTCAGGCCTTCGTGGGATTTGGGGACCGGGGCTGTGCCCAGATCCTAGGTGTCCCCAACACCCAGCACAGTGTGTGACTCTTGCTGATCAGAGGGAGAATTCAGATGACAGAAACCTGCATTGTTTCTCACAAACGATGTGGTATGGGCAGAAAAAATTAACTTCTTATTTAGCATCATGTACTTGTTAATGTGTGTGTATATCAGGGGGCAGAGTATCTGGGAGTTGCCAACTAAAGACCAGTAGTTTGATGATCAGTCTCCCAATTACTCCATTATTGAGTAGAATGAAACTATAAACCCATTCCTTTGGCTTTATTCCAACCCCCCATCTATCT